AAAGGCGCCAATGTGGTGGGTGACGTCTCATTTTGTTTAGAAATGTTTGCTCTGTACGACGGAGTTACTTGCAAAGAATTTCTCGATTGAACTCGGGGACTTGGTTTTCTGAAATTTGGGTTTTCGAGAGACCCTGGTTTCAGAAGTTTTTATAGAACCTTTCTATACACCACATCAGATCAAAAAATTCTTTCAGCTGTTCAAATCTTTTTTCAAATTTGTTTTAGCTATTATGGTTAACGAGAAAAATGAAAAATAAAGGTGGACGAATAATTTTTCAGCCCACTGTAGTTTTAAGTGGCGAAGGATTTAATACACAAACGCCGCTGGCAAGCTTTGTTAAGTTTCCTATTAACACATCTTGTAGAACTTTCCAAAACGCATCGAATGGTATATGAATGATTAGGGATCATCTTTAGTTTCATAGAAAAAGGTGACAAAGAGTTTCCGTGGTATAGCCACGACCGATGGAAAACTCAAGTATTAAATTTATAAAACATGCTGCCCCACTTCGTTAAGCTTCTTATTAACACATATTGTAGAGGTTTTCATGGCGCGTCGAATGATGTATTGCGCTGGGCTTAATATAGGATGGTTACTGAGAAATGTTGATTTTACAGTCATACTGTGGGTGCTAAATCATCGCTCCTTTTCGAGTGGATTCTGTCGGGTATATTCGACTGAAAGCGCTCGGAAGGGTCAAAATCATCGAATATCATAATTGGATGTGATTCTGATGAGGTTTAGACCGATTGGAGCGGTTATTTTTAGTGGGCCGATTTCCGTTCTTATGCGGACTTTACCTTTTATCTTGAAGTTTCAGAGTATGCATTAAACACAGACCTCATCTATTCTCTGATGCAGTTTTTTGCTTATAGCATATATTTTGAGGTAAATGTTTCTCATCAATCATAAAAGCAAAATTTGAAAGAAACTTACTTTGTTACCCTCTAAAAGTAGATGATTACTACAAATTAAAACTCTCACGAAGTATGTGGCTGTTTTGGGAAGAAGCGATGATAGCCGCATTTCTATTCTTGTTTGATCTATAACTTTTGAAGGTTGTAAGATATCAAAGACAAATTTTTACTACAAAAACTTCTCAGTAAGAGTAAGATTCTCTGAAAATTTGGTTTAGATTCGCTTGATGGTCCTGGAGATAAGATTAGAACGCAGAGGCGAGGAACTTAATGAAAAAAAACGAATCATGTACGACGGACGTGAAGGCGTAGCTTAAAACTATAATGATGGTCCGACTACAACTACAAATGATAACGTTTGCTAAATCATCATCGTCATGTTTATACCATGAACATCATAATAATAATAATAATGTACAATTTCTATCATCAGAACACGTCTATCATTATATTTTAGAATATAAGAAACATCTGATTATGTGGGAAACGATATGACAATAAATGTGTTTGTGATAGGATTTAAAAAAACAGATTATTATGGTCAAATTTTTAGAAAGAAAGAAATAGTTACCTACCTTCCTATAACGAGAGTATACTGTCAACTATATGACATAATATTCCGCCTCTTTTACAGACATTATTAAGTGTCAATCTTGTTTTGCACATATTGTATCATCAGCTGAGGTTGTTATCTTATATATATATAGTCATCTATAAAAAGTCACCTATATCATTTCTTCAGATTTATTCTGACTGTGATAAATTGCACTCACTAATACACTAATATCAAAAAATAAGCAAACCAATAAAGAACTCACGTTATTAACATTTTTTACTACATGAGTATTCATTTTTTTTGGGAAAAGCAACAAGTTTAGATAATACGTTGGTGTTGTTGATAGATAATACATTAGTGAAAAGTATATCATTGATAGCAGACGTTATTGATAGAAATAAACACTAAGAGAAAAAAGAACATGTGAGAGGCAATGTTTTATTATATTTATAAAAACAATTTGTATCATCAAATGACGAAATTACCATCGAAGACAATTTACGTTCTTTATCTCCAATGCGAAAGCGATCCATTTTTCTGTTAACACTATCTCAAATAGCATTTCAACTTTTATCTGGCACAATATTCTATTTACTTCAACAAAAAGATCCTAAAAGTCTTCAAAAAACAATTCGTCATAGAATAGGTACGGACAATAAACGTTAAACACATATTAAAACATTTACAAATATTATAACAATTTGTTAACTGAATAGAAACTAAACTTTATTTTTAGTTTGTCTAGATTTCACATAAATTTGTCTATATTCTACATATTAAGAGAAAACTATGTAAAAGACTTTCCTGTTTTAGTTTTTGATGAGGTAAAGATATTTTGAGGTCAAAGTTGTGTACTGGTACATCTTCCATCCAGAAGTGAAAATCAAAAAAAGAGGAAAATATTGCTTTGGTATGAACAACGACTCTCTACAGTAACAGGTCATCTTTCTAATTAGAGGTTATTTTGCATTCACTATAAGATTCGAACTTAAAAACTAAAAAGGTTACTATCAAAAATTTAGGTAAACTTAAGCGTTAATGCCTTGATTTCAAAAATAAAATTTAGTTTTCAGAAAAGTATTTAATAGTTGCAATAAGTCGTGTATCATTTCCCTAAATTATGTTGAAAGGATAAAGAATTAATAAATTGTGACTTTTTTTAATGTATTTTATGCACAACTTTTTACAAAATTTCGGACAAGGTCGAGTTTACTGACCTGAACTATATGCATTTGGTTTGATCATTGGGTTCAATGTAGTAAAAATTAACCATCTTTATTTACGAGCAGTGGATTCTTAAGAGTTCCTCAATGAAACCAAAAAATACTTTTGATACTATTATTCTAGTGTTTGCTTGATTAATCCACACTAGCTGAATTATTCTTAATTTTTCAACTCTTGATTACTAATACTACATAATATATAAAATAACACTTTTATATTGTAGTAGGCGAATTGCCCTGGTCTGATTGTGTGTATTATAGTATGACTGTCGTTACTACTATAGGTAAGTGGAAATGAGTATAATTTATTAAAGTCTATAAATAATATTGTATAGGATACGGTCATATCATACCAAAAACAAATTTTGCAAAAATTTTAACAATGTTAGTGGCAACAGTTGGCATTGTATTAAATTTCGTTTTTATTGCCGCAGTAGCCGAATTTATTAAGCGTAATATGGATCGATTTTCGTCTCCATTTTTACAAAAATTTGATGAAACAAACCGAAAATGGAAATTTGCTGTTAAAGTAGGTTAATTCTTTTAAAAATAAGAATTTTATGCTTATTTTTGCTTTTAGCTTTTTACCTATGGTTTCTTTGGAACTGTTCTCATTCTTATATTAGCAGCAATGGTTAGTTATATCGAACGTTGGGGCTACTTGGATGCATTCTATTTTGTTTATATTACTCTCAGCACGGTGAGAGATTAAATACTTTTCTTTTTTATCACAATTAGTCACTTCTTATTTAGATTGGATTTGGAGACTATATAGCTGGAGATAATATTCAAAGTGAAATAAAATTAACGTTCTATCGTCTTCTTGTTTATATATGGATCTACTTTGGAATGGTGAATAACGAGAAAGAGACAGAGGGCGTACTGTAATGTGTGTCTATCTATTTAGAAATGAAAATTTTGTATTTTTAGGCTTATATAGCGCTACTGATTCAAACAAGTGCCGATTATTTTACCGAACACTCTATGGAAATAATGAAATTAGCCGCAGCGAATATTGTTCGCGTAGGTATCTACCGTATTTTCAATCATTCGATTTTTTTCTATCAATTCATTTTTCAAATATCATTCAATGATGGCATAAAGAACATCTAGATAAAAATTAGTGTGTATGACTTCCTCGCTTCTGTTCAGTTTTAACTGATCACTCCTTCTCTTCATTTGAATGTCTTTTAACAATAAGTATAAAATTTAATTTAGTTGAATTGTGGCACATATATTGTTACGCAAGATGAAGATAATTTTTATAAACGTTTGATGTCGTAGGTATTTTGACGTAATATTTTTATATTTATATAAATTATTTTATTATTAAATATAGGTTTAGTAGTTATTCAAATGGAAAACGCCAACGAACATCATCACGACCATCGATTGATCAAGAACAATTATCGACTCCTCGACGAAGTAGAATACGTCCAACAATACATCGAAAATTATCGAATTTAAGAGAAAGTTTAAAATTAAAACAAGTGACAGCAGATAATTCAGATCGTAAAATGTCAATATGTAGAGATGCGTCAACAAATACAGACGTAGATTCTGATACTAGACAAAATTTAGATGATCAAAATCAATTTATATCGGATGTAGATGACGCAGAGGAAATAAAATGTTAGCTATAGATCTATTTATCTACGAATAGTTATTTTTAGCATCATTATAAAATAATATGTAATTTCTTCAGTTGATTTTCTGAAAGAAATCACAAGTTAAAGATGAGATCGAATTGGAATGCCTCAATGATTAGTAATTTATTATATATTTGACTATTTTTGTGATAATTGAACATATGAGATGCTAATATTGTGATGAACAAGAAATTTTTTAAAATATTACTAAGAAGAATGAACTTTGTGATTTTTTTGTAACAATTTTGTTTTGTATGATTTACACTTTAAAAACTACACATAAAATCGTGGCTTCACAAGCGATATTCTATAAATAAATAATGTAAAACTGTTAGACTATCGCCATACATTCAGAACAAATCAAAACTTTGTATTATTTTTTCTTAAAACTTTCCAACAGAGGCTGATTTTTCCATTGATAAATAACAGCTGTCAATTAAGGGCCCCCCCTCAGAAAAAAACTTTTTTATCTTATATCCGATTTTGATGACGCTTTCAGCAAATATTTGCCATATCAAAGTGTGGTTATGAAATTTTTTTTTCCTCGCTATCTCTTACTGTGCCGGGTTTTCCAGAGTCCAAGGTCAAAAAACCACCCTCCACTGTGAGACACTTTGTTTAAATATACTTCAAGCTAGAGATCTCGGGGTGATTTTATTTTAAACTAAACACCTAACTGCGATGACTAATGGGACCAAATTTTGATTTAGGTCTTCGTTCATTTTCTAGAGATCCAAGATCCTCAAAAATCCAACAACCCTTTCGGATGTTCTAGTAAACTAAGGCCTAATTCAAAAATCGGCTTCCATCAGTCCACGTAGTTAGATGTCTAGTTTACAATAAAACAAACCCGAGATCTCTAGCATGAAGTATGTATAAAAAAAGTGTCCCACACTGAGCATGTTCGAGCAAAAAACATGTTTTGGGTACAAATTTTGAAAGCAGATACTCCAGGCTATCTTTCCATGTGCTCCAAATTGATTTTATGATACAAAAAGATTTCATTCTGAGGGGAGCCCTTAAGTAATCAGCTATCTTGCTCATTGTCTCTGTAAAATACCATGTCATTTTTAACTGTAGATGTTCTGAACAAAACACTGGTATCAATTACCATTTAGATCAATATATATCTTGTATCAACTTTTATTATAGACAAACAACCATTAGATCAAATATAATCTGAATCAGTTCAATATCGAAAATTATGTGTGAAATATATTTTATTCAGCTGAATAGTATAATATCAACACAAAAGCTACGCGACACCCTCTTGTATTGTCTTGTTGTGCCGAACGTATTGATTATATTCACCATTTTTGTATCGATATGTAAGTATCGTAGAAAAGTGTTGTTAAATAAGCTAAAATAACGGTTAACAGCAATGAATTAAGTAGTAAGTTACATTAGATTATCAAATAGTAGTGAATATTCGATATTATATTTAACGTCTCATTCTCTGAGTAGAGATGCGCAGGTTAGAATGATTTTCTTTTTCTACAAAAATTTTAAATAAAATTGTTTTGTGCTCGGTCTCACAGACAAGATCTGTGGCTGTTACTATTTACACTGTATAGTTGGAACATTTTTGAGTTTGAATACATTGAAGTTAATATTTATACCAGTTTATGGGATGGATGATCTAAAGTTTGATAATTATCATATTTTACTATGCACTTTCTAGATGGACATTTCTGTGGTCTAGCCGTCTGAATCATCCAGGGTTTGTTTCGATATTCATAAGCTTTGATTCAGTTTTTCGCAAACTCTTCGTTTTCGTTATGTCTGCATAAATTGTAGACAGTCTACATTGAATTATGTATCATTGAGAGAAGATGTGTTATAAAGTCTTATAGGGAAATAGTCAAAGTTTCTCAGTAGTTAGCCTATTTTTGAAGCCATTTATGATCGTACAAGTCATACCCTGCTAAATATTAAGGTTAAATTATCATCTGTCTCTTCGTTGATGAAAGAAATCTCCTAAAAATTCCCTTACGTGTTTGTGCAGTATTCAAACGAAGACAAACACTTCCAAAGTGGCTGGATTTATCCCATATGACTCTATCTTTTGCCAGTAACCAGATAGATTTCGAATGTTTAATTATAACCGACTTATTTTTTAGGAAAATAAACTAAACAATCAGAAAATTAATATATAAAAATAATATAATAATTAATAAACAATTATCGATGACAAACGATTATTTGTATAAACAATCATATCCAGTATGTAAGATTTTCTTTTAACTTTTCTTTTGCTCTTTTCTGCATATGATGGCACTCTAGAATGTCAGTAGATCGTCATAAATTATTCCAAATATTCTAACGGAAAAACACATAGTTTTAACAATAGTTCAATATTTCAGATTCATTCATACATTGATGGTATTTCATACACTTATCTAGTAATCTTACCTGAAGAATTCACCTTATATCCCAAGTAAAAATTTCTTAGCGGAATATGTACATTCGCTTTCTGAAGCTAATTATTAGAATGGGAGAGCATCTAGATAAAAGAGTTAAAAGAAAAACATTTACCGACATCAAGATGCATCGACTAGTCAATTAACGGTTTGGGATACATTGGATGATGCTCAATATTTTCTCTGTACTGGGAATGTATTATAGCTAGTGTTGAATTCTCTATTATTAATATCGGGATAAAAAATATGCGCATAAACATCTATAAAGGCTCAAGGTAATATTATTTATTAGTTTATTCATTAGTCTTGGCTACTATCGAGTATCAAAGATCATCGATCTTATCACCTATATATCAAAAGTCATTTTAAAAAAAAATGAGTGAGTGAATTCTGTATTGAAATACACAGGAGTTTTTAGGCACCGTTAGCAAGCAGTTGAAAAATCCTCGTTAGTCATAACCACAAATTTCTCAGCTGATTTTTTGTGTTTAAGGCTGTAAAAAATTCAAATTTATGTTTACCTACCCACTCATCTCATAAGATGAAAACGTTTCGTAATAAAATTAACAATTATTGTTCTCAATTGAATTTAATGAGCACATGGAACAGAACAAAACAAATATTGTTCACTATATAAAAAAATTATATTAATTTTTTTTTCTAAAATTTTACAAAGAATTTTTTTTTATTGCACCAAGGGCCGCCGTATTATACACAAACGGAAAAAGAAATGAGAAAAGCAATTAAATACTGAATAATATCATTTAATCGAAAGAATATCCGATATACCTTTTTTTAAAAAGTCAATCCAATTTCATAATTCTTTCTGCCTCTCTCTCTCTTTCTGTATAAAGGTTTTAACATAATTTGCGTCACTAGCCTTCGTGTTCTTTTTCTTTATGTCGTTGCGTGCTTAAAAGTTCCTCTATTTTTTCAAAAAAAAGCGGATACCGTCTGCGTTTATATTCGAAAGCGATTATCAACATCATCAAGAAAACATTGCAATTTGTTGTTATTTTTGAATAAATTTAAAACTACAAGGTAATTTTTTTTTCCTTCTTGTATTTTCTGCTTAGAATAAATGTATTATACCATATCGCGAGCTCGTGTTTGACATCGACAGACAGTTCACAGATTAAAGAGAAAAATTTCTCACTTTCTACTACGGTTGTAATAAAAGATGCTGAATGATATTTAGAAGAAATTTGAATGTGAACAAGAAAAGTGTAACAGTAAGCAAATATCATTTATGTTTCTTATTTTTAGTAGAACTACAGTAATGAGTTTTATGCATAATAGTTTCAAGCAGTTTACTTTGCTAATTTATAAAATAATGTACTGCGACAAAGATCATGTTGAGCTTTATGAATCTGATGGTATTTTAGAAATGACTGGCAATGGCTTTTATATTTTCTTACGGAGTTTTCTTTTGCTACGTTTACAAAAAGAAGCGGAAAAGAAAAAACATGTTTTTCTCAGAAAATGCACAAATTGTTAGTTCTGTATCAATACAAGGAAGAAAGAAAATTCTATTTTATCTATCTCAAGTAAAATAGATTTTTAAGTATATATATGTATGTTTTTTTAATCAGAGTATTGTTTTTATTTCTTTGAATTCAAGTATGTCCCTAATTTTTGAAAAAAAAAAGAAATTATAAAAATAATAAATATTTAAGCAACCAAAACTGCCCGGGACTAATTAAAAAAAAGGTAACAAAGAGATATTTTTACGTAATACTTAGTTTTAGTAATTTGTGGTTGTAGATGGCTTGTTAAGCTCTGGTAGGAGATTTATGTAGCAGAAAAATTTATATTTTTGATATTCTCATAACGAATGAGTAGTTTCTTATCAACTTCGGAAATCGACTGAATAGCAGACCTTTATTGATCACTTTTAAATTATTTTCTTTACCTAGAAATCTTAGTAAATAGACTGAGTATTTTGACTGCATATATTATGTTCTTCAACAATAGACGTATTCAATATTTTATAGTTGGTGAATTACATAAATACCGACTGTTACTCATTCAATAATATGTCAATTTCAGACTTTCAAATAAAAATAATAATTTTTATTTTATTTTTCTACGGTATCGTCTTGCGTTCGGTAAACGGAATGCAGTATTCTGTTTGTTGTTCTAATAAAAGCCATAGAGATTTGAGAAAAAGAGAGAAAAAATGAATGAAACAAGACTTTCCGTTTGGATTTTAGTGATACAGAGGGAAAAGAACGAGATATTTTTCTCTAAAACGATAAAATTAATTTCGATTTTATTGATTTACTTATTATAGAAAAGTATATACGTAAGTATAAATAAAATTCAACATTCATCTGTTAATGTGCGGTTTAACTTTGAAATATTAAAGTAGATCATTCAGTCTTGAGAAAAATATCAAATGGAAAGACGTAGTGTATACTCCCTTCTTACCATGAGACATTCCCAGGTGATCAAGAGGACTAATAAGTTCTTAGATTTTTTTGAATGCTTATTAGACAACTGATATTCATTCATCCCGATAAGGCTTCCCGTCACTACTCTATAGAAATCGCGTCTCCAGAGATCCAT